AAACTTACAGATTAAGGGGCGGTAATATTATAATGAGATCCCTTTGCCACGTCACCAAGGGAGCAAAATCAGACATGCTCGTTTTCTCAGACGCTTGCAGAAAAAGGCTTACCAAAACAAAGTTATTGGGTTAATCTTTTTCACGTTCCCTTGGTTGGTAGATGCACCGGGGACCTGATTATAGCACTTAAAACCTGGAAAAGTCAGATTTTCATGATATGTCACCTTTAATTTTCATTTTTACTTTTTTGCAATAGCTGTAATAGCCTAGATTTAGTTTACTTGTGTCAGGGCATTTTTTGTACGATTCGGTAGAAGTTTTGTCCAGTTTGGTGAAAAATCACTCGTGGAACCCTTTTGATTGAGTGTCTGCATGTATAATTCAGTTTAGGCAGTTGGCTAGATTTTTTCTTTTTTGTGCGTCCATAAAGCTCCTCTACAAAATCATTCAAATGCAAGTAACTATTAATAGCATAACTCAGTCTCAACAACTGATTAACACAGAATTTGCATACAAGTTGATTTCCAAAATGAAAATTAAAACTGTGAAATAAAAAATAAAATAAACTGAAAACTCACTAATATGCATGAGCATTACTAAAAATCTTAATAAGCAATGTTTTTGCAGGTTTTTTTTCATGTTTGCCTTTTCATTTTAATATTGGCAGTCTTGCTTCGAGATTGTAGATATAAAATGAAATGTCAAATCACCAACTCAATTTTATTTTTCAGTTTGGCAGGGACATTGTCACTGTGAAAATGAAACAATTTCATTTCATTTTCAATTTTAATACATATTTTGCATACAGTTTTCTATAATGAAATGATTAATCTGGTTTTAATTGTCATTTTCATAATTTTATCTATCTATCTATCTATCTATATATCTATCTGTCTGTCTGTCTGTCTGTCAAACTAACCTGGATTTGTATATTTCTTTTTCACGCACAACTAGACGTGGACTGTTCCTAGACCTTTTTCCATGGAGTAAGCATTTAGAAGAATTAACAGAAATGTGTGTTAAATGTTACTGATTTTTAAAACCAGCAGAGGGAGCCATCTCATTATGTTCAGAGGTGAATATGTAAATATGCTTTGTGTGAATTCAGATCCTCTTTGCAGCATCTGACCTTATAATTACATTTATGTCAAGAATTAGACACCACAATTACAACATGTAAAAAAACAAACAAACAAACACATGTTGATGTAAGTTGTGGTCATCTGTCATTCATGGTGACTGTTCTTGCTTCCTGAAAGGAACTTGGAGTTGTTGCTGACATTGCCTGGTGGGGAAAGTGTAAGAGGATTTTTTCTGGTGACACTGCTGGTGGAGCTGGCAGCTGTTCCTGGCCTGAAGGTCTGACACCTTTACAAATGCCACCATTCACAGACAGAGCACTGAGCTACAGAAGCCATAATAGCCAAGAATTTACTTTGATATACTATGCTAGTATTTGTTTAATTACTTTGATGCTCCATGGCATGCAAATATGCATTGAAAAAAAGTGTCAGATTTACTTTAAAACAATTTTCACTCAGAAATTGCTAGTAAATTACACAAAACACAAAGAAATGGCAAGTAACGCATTGAATACAATTCTTGTAAAAGTCTTGTAAAACAGTCCAGTATTCTTTTTTTTTTTCTTTTTTTTTTGCTAATGCAAAAAATTACAGTGTTGAATTACCATCTGATTACATTACTGTACCGTGGTAATACTAGCAGTTTCTTTTTTCACAGTCTATCCTTGATGTCATCAATGGCATCCATTATAATGATGTTGCTATGGTCACCAAAGCTCTGGATGTTGTCAGTCAGGCCATAGACAGCATGAAACAGGCTTTTAAACTAATGCATGGTAATACTTTCAGGATAAAAAAATGAACTTTTATTCAAGTTGTTTTAATACTTCATGTGACATATACATATTTACTGTTTCAGACTATGTAGATCCTTCCATATTCTATGGGATTGTGAGGATCTATCTGTCCGGGTAAGCCATACTGTAGGTTTTTTGGATTCTTTTGAATTTATAAAAATGTTATTCTCCTTCTGCATGTGGGTTTTAGATGGAAAGATAACCCACTAATGCCAGAAGGTCTCGTGTACGAGGAAGTTCAGGAGAAGCCAATGGAGTTTTCAGGAAGCAGTGCCGCTCAGAGTAGTACCATACACTGCTTTGATGAGCTGCTGGGAGTCCAACATGAAGGCAGCAGCGGTAAGAGAACTATCAGTAATTGTTCTTGTGATTAGATCATTCCTGATTTAAATTTTGGCCTTGCAATTACAGTAATGATTATGCTGGATAACATCAGGTGTTGCACAAACTTGTGGAGTCCCTGCCAGTGATGCTGTTATTAAATAACCAGGGGGATTGTTTCAGTTGCAACATAAATGTTTTATCTTACCTATAAGGCAACCCCCTGGGGCCTGTAAAGGGGTGCTTGGGGATCCTCAGAAAAGGATTTTACTAAATCAGTTTTTAGGGCTATTAATGTTACTGCAAAAACTACTAATGATTTTATTTACAAATAATAAAAATAAATTAAATAATTAAATAATTACAAAATAATAATTTAAAATATGTATTATATTTAATGCAATAATTGTTTTAACATTCTACTTTGCCATATCTATTGTGAAAACCCACTAAAAAAAACAAATTTTAATTTAATAGAAAATATCAATAAAAAAAATATTAGGATTATACATTAAATCCCAATATTTAAAAAAAAGTAGACAGTAATAACATATTTAAATAGTAAAGTTGTTATTTGTGATATCATACTATTTAAATTTTTTATTATTATTTTTGTATATATATTTTATTTTATGTTTTTATGTGTGTGTGTGTGAGTATTTTATTTTATTTCTTTTTTTTAAGAAATCAAAACTTTTATTCAGGAAGGATGCATTAAATTGTTAAATAAAAGTAAAGACTTGTTTCAAATTAGTGCTGTTATTTATATTCATCATATAAGAATCCTAGAAAAATTTATCTCAGTTTCCACAAAAATATTAAGCATCCCAACTGTTTTTTGATGATAATAATAAGAAATGTTTCTTGAGCAGCAATCAGCATATTAGAATAATTTATATATATATATATATATATATATATATATAAATGCATACACATACAGTATATATTTAGAAAATATTTACATGTATATATTTATATTCAGGAGGGTCAGGGATTATGACCTTTCTGAAGACAGTGCGTGACAAAACCAAAGACACTTCCATCTCACAGGGCTCTAAAGGGAACCAGATCCATCAATGACAGAAATACAGAAGGCTGCATCTGAGCTCACAACAGAATGATAATCAGAATGAATCAGAATCAGAATTAGCTTTATTCGCCAAGTGTGCACAAACATGCAAGGAATTTGTTGTGGTTTCCAGGAGCGCTGGGTACATACATACATACATATATAACACAAGAGAAAGATTATAGAACATAGAACATTTAAATAGTTAAAAATTAAGAAGAAAAAAACAATAAAGTAACTTACATTAGATCTGACAGTTTATGTACAGATGTGTGCATTATGTACTGTACTGTATATACAGCTGTATGAATACAAATATATATATTTACAAATTGTATAACACCACAAAAGCACTGAATTATAATTTATAACAAAAAGCAGGTCGTAAAATGGTGTTTTAGTTATTTAAGCTGGAGATGGCCTGGGTAAAAAATCCTGAGGGTAGAGGTGTGAACAGGTTGTGGCCTGGGTGAGAGGGGTTTGTGATGATGTTACCTGCCTGTTTCTTCATTCTGGAGATGTACAAGTCCTGAAGGTTGGGCAGGTGCACACCAATTATCCTCTCAGCTGTCCTAACAGTCCATTGCAGTCTTCTTAATTTTAATGTGCTGGCTGACCCAAATCAGACCATTAAAGAAGAGCTGTGCACAGTTGAGTTTTTATTTTATGTTTTTATGTGTGTGTGTGTGAGTATTTTATTTTATTTCTTTTTTTTAAGAAATCAAAACTTTTATTCAGGAAGGATGCATTAAATTGTTAAATAAAAGTAAAGACTTGTTTCAAATTAGTGCTGTTATTTATATTCATCATATAAGAATCCTAGAAAAATTTATCTCAGTTTCCACAAAAATATTAAGCATCCCAACTGTTTTTTGATGATAATAATAAGCCATTAAAGAAGAGCTGTGCACAGTTGAGTAGAACTGTGTGAGCAGCTCCTGTGGCAGGTTGAACTTTCTCAGTCAATGTGAGTGCCCCACTTCAGGTTCTGTGAGATGGTGGTGCCCAGGAACCTGAATGACTGCAGCCACAGTGCTGTTCATGATTGTGAGGGGGGGGGGAGTACTGGGTATCCAAACTATCTTGGAATGGTAATTTGACAACCTAGGCTCATTGGAAAAATGTGCCTATGGTGACATTTCTGCAAAATGATATTACTTTGCTTCTTGCGTGTTTCACATCACTTTCAAAGTGGAATGGCCAGTGAGTGACACTAAAAATGCATTCAGTTTCATCCACAACAGATGAACGTGAATCTGGCAATGTTTTATTACGTTGATTGTTGTACTGTACATATAGCAGCAGTTTGAAAAAGAAATGTTGGATGAGTTGCACTAAATGGTTAAAGGGATAGTTCACCTGAAAATTTGCGTTTGCTCTTAACTGACTCCATTTATGGTTTTTCATGCTTTATGTAAAAAGGTGAGTTAATTATGACTAGTTTATTAGTTTGCTTTAGACATGTAAAACTTTCACGTTTCATATCATTATTGGGTGTTTTATTAATATAATTGCTTATGCATTACATTGTTGTGTGATTATGTAAACAAACTGGTGAATCAGTTATTTGAACCAGTTCATTGAAACGAACTGTCTGAAAGTTCACAGAAAATAATCGATTTCCCTGTTTGCCTGAGGCTCTGAATTACAGATAATAATGCTGTAAATAATGTACAGTTTGTTACACAGACCGATCGTTCCATAACACCTAATATATCGTCAGGAGCCACATGTATTAATTTTATATTTCCTGTATACACTAAACCTAACCAACAGTTTTAACAAAACGTGACACATTTGCTGAAGCAACCATGCCATTGTAGCTTGGTTCTATGACTATTTGAGCTCTTTATTGTAAATCTTGCATTATGGTAACAGTGTGAAAAAAGGTTCATAACATACTTTAGGGTGTGATTATTGTAGTTTGGTTCTCTTTGTTCTTTTGGTCTGGAGCAAAAAAGTAAGGGGGCTTTCACACTTGCACTTTTGGCAAGCACCTGGGTTTTGATGTTCAGAGTTTGGTTTGTTTGGATAATGTGAAGTTTCTGATGTGAATGCAATCGTACTAAATCACAGACGTGAACCGCTATTGATGACATATGAATTGGTCAAACTGTGTATTTATGTTTATCACTCACTTTCCTGACTAGCGCAACTGACACGCCACAAGCAGAAATATGAATCATATTCAGCAGAAATTAACTCTCTCACAAATTACATTTGTGACAAATAGATGCATGTAATGGTGCTTTGAAAACAAAACCAAATTTTCAAAATCCAAAGTACAAAAGTGATGCGAGCTAGCAATGGTATCCATCCATTTTGCCGTCTTCTCCTGCATAGTTATTATCTAGCAACAGGGGTAAACAACTAATGACGCAAATAAAATAACATACTGTGAACACAGTCCAGCAGGGGGAGGGGGATCAGTCGAAATTGGGTTGTGACCAGGCAATTGGACCAAGTGTAAAGCACACTAAATGATAGGCTACATTTCGCTTAGTATTCACGCTGTCATGTTTAACACTAAGCTTAAAGATACAAAACAAAAAGCATAAGGATACAGTCACAACCTGATGGAACAGCTTTTAAGATGTTTATTTTACAAACTTATCCAACACCCAAAACAATGCTGTGTTGCTGGGCTAAATGCGGTCGTTGTATGTGTATACAAATGGTGATATGTTTACAGTCTGATATCTCACGGAGAGCATTTAAAATGTGTAAAGGATTCAAATAAAATAAATAAAAAAACAGAAGGAATTCTTCCATTGCACAGGCGATTTTGATGCCCATACCGAACTCTAATGGACAACATGAGAAGACATGTTGATAAGAAGAACCAAGTTGAGCATTCTATATTTTTGGGTCACATTTTGTGACATCACATCTTGATTTTGATTCATTTATATGTCTTTGGTCCGTGTTGCGTTCACATATTAGTTGAACCACACCAGAGTTCGAACGTTTGGTCTGCTTGCTTGGTGTGCACCAAGGTTCACACGGCAGCGTTCACATTTATCCAAATGAACCATATTAACAGAGCAGTCACTCCAGAGTTTGTTTTAATCAAACCAAACCTGCCAAGTATGAACACACCCACTGATTTTTTTTTTACAAGAAACGCATGAAAATAAGTCTTAAATCATCAATTATCTGCCACTGTAATTATAATTTGTGTGAAAAGGAATACAAGCCAGTGGTGTTTTACTGCTGCTATACTGTTCATTTCAGATGAAATCCACAGTGATTTGCATGTATAGGTACGTTTTTGCAGAAATGTAGGTAGAGGTTTTTCCGTTGAGCCTATGTTACTTGACCTGCTACTTCGACATAATACTCTCAAACATTACAGTGTTAGAGGAAAACTACAAGATATTAGTGTCAAGGAAGAGCTAAAGTCAAGATTCAAAAGGTCTAATAAGGGTCTAATAGGGTCTGAGACTTTGGACCCCACTGTATGTCTTTAAAGATTCATTTGTCCATCAATATAGAACACTACCTGAATTCCCATTATAAAGGTTGTAATATAGCCTACAATTAGTTTAGTACGTACTGCATCTTGTTTATTCATCAATACTTACATAATAAATGTATTAGAGCTGTTTCTGCTCCTGACTCTCTAACCTTTATCTTGGAAAGCTGGGAAATGGACATTCCTTTGTCATTTCATGCCACAAATTATTTTGATTTGAAGCTATAATCCAATTAAAGCATAGAGTAAAGCCTACTTGAGCCACACACATAGCCTCCCTTCAATGAAGAGAAGTGTTATTGACATTTTGTGGCAAAGAATGCCATGATTTCAAGTCAAACCATAACTTGAACCATCAACTTTATTGGATAATTCCAATAAGCAGCTGTTGCATTTGCATTTTTGGATGAATAAAGATCATCCTGTAATTATATCATTTTGTGCAAAAATTAAGTATGAATCTTGTTGCTA